TCAACCTTAATATTTAGGTTAGTTGGGTTAATTTGTATTATAAGTGTTCTAAATAAATAAAACTAAAAGTCTTTCCTGCCCTACAGAGAGTGAGGTTGACTCAGTCTTAACATACAGATCACAGGGATGAATGTGTTGACTATTACAAGCAATGAATGCAGAGTGATAACACCGTGTCCAAGGGCTTAACAGTTAAAATGTCACCATAATCTGACATCAATAGAAAAGCTGCTTGATGCTTTTTTTTCTGGATCTTTGTTCTTGCACTTATTTTCTATTTCTTTTAGTGCAATGTTTCTGTCTGATGAAATAGTTATATCAATCAGTTCGCAGGTAGAATTCTTTGAATCTTTAATGATGATGTCTGGTCTGTTCGCTGCTGTAGTTCTGTCAGTATTGACTGGCATGTCCCACATGATGGTGATGTTGTTGTCTTGATTGTGAATCACAGTCTAGGGCTCATGCTCGCACCACAACCTCAATGTTATGATCCTTACAGATGTTCCAGTGGAGATACACTGCAGCTTTATTGTACCTGGAGATGTAATCTTTTTTGGCTAATACCTCACAACCAGATAGAATATGGCTCACTGTCTCTTCATGCTGTGAACACATTCTGCATTTGCTCTCCACTTGCTGGCCACATATTACTTTTTGGTAGTTTCTGGTGTATACTGCCTGGTCTTGAGCTGCTGCTAGTAGCCTCTCGGTTTCTCCTTTCAGATTACTTGATAACCGTTTGTTGATGGTAATTGTATCTACATGAGGCTTCTCCAGGATCTTTGGATACTGGCTATGCAATGCTTTATTTTTCCACATTTCTTCTTTCATTGATTTCATCTTGGATTTGATCAAGTGTTTTAGGGCTTTAGCATTTTCTGAGGCTGATTTATCTTCACTGTTCTCAAACTCTGCCACTGGTACTTCCCTCTTGAACTTATCAGCACTCTTGCTTATTATTGTTATTATTATTATTATTATTATTAGTTAATAATGATTGGGGTGTAAACTTTTCTTCGACTTCCTTAGACTGGCTGTAACCGAGAGTTAAGATTTCCACTGAAACCTTTCATTTAGCTCAATGAGGCTTTCATTAGTCATTTCACATTCATTGAAACTACAGGTGGTCGTCTAGGATCATAGAAAGCTGAAAAAAGTTTGCATGGTTTTCTGTGTACAACACGAGGCCTGCAGTTTGTCCCTGTGGCCGCTGGCGGCGCTGTGGGTCGGAGCGCCGATGAGTCAGTCTGCTGGTCCAACACGACGAGGAAGCGGGGAGCAAGAAGCAATAACAAACAAACCTAGCAGCAGCAAGCTAACGCTACTCGGGGAAACTTAGCATATAGGTTGTCGTGTTTCCTTCACGTCGGACATATTAGCGGTGAAGATTTTGTACACTGTGTACAAAAAGATGTACACAGTGTCCGAAAACGACATACAATAATCTGTCACGTAGACAACGTCGTTGTTATCTAACATCTGCTAATATTAGCCAAACGTCGGCTAACGTTAAGTTAATCCTCCCCGTCTATGTCGTTCTTTGTGTAATTATACAATTGTCAGGGAAAATAGCTAGAAATTTAGACATTCGTCAGGAAACTATCGTCTTTACACGGCACATGTGAGGAAAACAACGAGACAACAATCAAGATTACAACCGTGACGGCAGATACTAGCAGGATACGGAGGTATGTAGCTCCACACAATAACATCACCTCGAGGACTTCTGATTGCTTTACTTGATGGGATTTTTGCACAATTTAACACAAAGTGAACTCATAACTGAATACTAATCGCATTTCGTTGGGTCAGAGTATTTTAACTTTACTAATTAGTGGCATGTTAGGAGCTGGAGCAGCTAAATAAAGTTGTTTGTGGAGACGTGATTAGGAAACATTAGCTTCATTGTTAACAAGTTTAGCATTGCGACAGAAGCAACTCAACAATAGCAGATTGTTTCTTTTCTGGCGGTCTGTAGGAGGCTTCAACATCAAAATGTGCTACGTCGATTAAACTTTCGGACAGGATGGTTTTGTTTGTCACACATGAGACAGAGTTAATGACTAATTAGAGTCATAAAGTACTACACAAAGTCCTTGAAGCACGTAAACATGCCCTAGTTATTGTGTTAACTTCTTGCCAACTCGCACACGCACACACGTGAGAACTGCGTTGTATAGCCTTATCTTTATGATGCAGTGGTTGTTAAATCTGCTTCTCTGTAAATAATTAGGTTACTGTAACATGCATTCAAGGAATGCAGCCACAAAAGGGCTTCCGAATGTAAAGTGTGGGTTGATCAGGTTTTATTATTTTCAAAATCCAACATATATATACTTTAAATTCAGTTTTTGTGCATCCCGCTACAGATGGGGCACAAATTAAAGGAAAAACATTTACCCTGAAGTGTTTTACTAAGGCCCTTCTCTATAATATGTAAGGATCGGGTGGCTCTATTGTTATCGTGTTTGGGGCATTCTGCTGCCATGGTTTGGTGTACTTGTCCCTTCAGAGGTGAACGGTCACTGCAAATCAATACAAAGTGGATTTGAGTGATCACCTTTATCCTAAGATAAATCATTTCTGTCCCATGGGAGTGGTCCCTCTCAGGATAACAGTGCCTCCATCCAAAGGGTACAAGTGGTTACTGAATATGTTGATAAATTTTATGGCCTTCACAGATCTTAACCCAGTTAACCACCAGTGAAAGATTTTGAACCAACATGTTTCTTTTTATTTCTCCAGTAAAGTACCATAGACCTAGAGAATCAATACCAAGCTGTATTGCAGCACACAGTGACCCAGCAACATACTAAGACCCTTAATGTTGGTTTTCCTTTAATTTGTCGTTTGTATGTATGTGAGCAATCTCTAGATAATGTCCACACGAAACCCTCATGCATGCGAGAATTGTTTCTTTGAGGAGTTATTGCTTTTACACAACTGTTTTTGTCAGTGATTGAAAAAGAACCAACAAAGTCGTAGTCGGGGATTGGAATAGAACTTTTAAATGGAGTTGTTAAATTACTCATCTGGGATGCATTGGTATGAAAATAGAGGTTTTTGTTAGCTCCTCTTTTATACAAATACAGGAGAACAAAAGGAGACATGCTGTATCCAGTATGTGGCCACTTTTCTGTAAGACGTCATTGTTCCTTATGTGATATTTTAGACATGTAAGTCACTACTTTAGGGGAGTTGCCTTGCAGAGAGTTAATAAAATTTAACAGAGAATTTGTGCAAGGCTGCAGTTAAAAGTCAATATAATGCACTTAGTGTTTTATGGAAAAAGGTTCTTCTGTTTGTTTAAAAAAAAGGAGGCCTTGAGAAGTAATTTATATTGATACAAAGTACCAGAACTGCACTGACCTCCAAATGTGCTTGGCTTCGGCTTTACTTTTGCTACTACAAGACAGTATAGTTTTTGTTGACTTCACAGTTCCTCGTTTGCATATCGATGTGCATATTTACACAGTCGCACCGCCTGAACGATCTGTTTGCATTAGCATGTTAATGCAAGGTTGTAGTCCAACTCTAACAACTTAAGCCTGATACCTGAAACGTGCAGCATTTGTTTTCTAATTGTAACGAATTACTCTCTCCTGATCTGTTTTTTTTTTTATGTTAGCGCAACTGTAAGCAACCAAGGATGGTACACCTTGGTGTGCGCTGTGTGGGAACTCGGCTGAGTGTCCTAATGCTGGTTTTCTGCAGCGTCCTGGTTCCCTCACCTACACATGCCTATATATATGCTGTAAGTAATCTTAGAGCTTAGCAGTGTTTATGAGTTAAAATGCTATCTATTAGTAAAATTCTTCAGAGTCTCCTGAAGCCTATTCCAGTTCTTTCATTGTGTATATATTGTTTTAACAGCATTACAGCAATATGACCTCCATGTTGTTTGAGGACCTACCTGCCTTGTTTGGATCTCCACTTCCTAAAGATGGATTAATGGTGAGAGCAGATTATTGGCGAAAGAGTTCATACAGAAAATCAGAAGTCATAATCTGTTATAATGACGTTTTTTCTCTCTCTCTGTATAAAAGGGAGTTATGGTGCTGTCCCGTCCACTTAATGCGTGTACACCAATAGACCCTCCTCCTCCACTGCCACCATCTTTCGACGCCAACACCACCAAATTTGTCGTTCTCATCAGACGCTATGATTGCAATTTTGATATAAAGGTCAGTAGAGTTTGACATGGAACAATTTGTGGTGTCTATGAAGAAACCTGGTCTAATGTGAGGAACTGGTTTCAGGTTCTACACGCACAGCAGGCTGGATACAGCGCTGCAATCGTTCACAACATGTATTCAGAGACTCTGCTCAATATGAACTACAGCAACGGTAAATATTTATCAAATACATGCACATTCAGACTTTCATTCAAGCATTCACACCATCTTACTAAAGGCTTTACAGTTAAAATCTTATTGAATTGTATGTTTTTCTATTCCAGACACCATTGCAGAGCAGATCGAGATTCCCTCTGTATTCACCAGCTACTATGCTTCTCAAATTCTGAAGAATTTCATTATTCCAGAGCAAGGGTAAGGAAAAACTACAATTGTAATTATAGGTAGTAGTTGCTAAAACTAAGCAACAGACGAAACCAACCTTAAACAGTCAGCATTAGATCTGTACAGTCTAACATATGATGGACATATAACTCATTGTTTTCTCTTTTCTTGGCCTACAGGGCCTATGTGATCCTCAAGCCAGAATTTGCATTTCCGCTGTCATACTACCTTATTCCCTTCACTGGGGTAGTCGGCATGATTATTCTTGTGATGTGTGTTGTTTTGGTAAGTATCCATGATGCAATATCGCCTCTGTGTTTGTTCAGTCTTTATGACATTCTTTAATACACCTTTTGGGAATCTGAGTTTACAGTTGTTAAAGTTAAAAGAGCAATTACGCAATTGTTTCCGTATATTGTATTTGACTAATGGATGGCAGAGGCAAGCTTTTCTTTTTTGCATTGTAAAGCGGTAACGTCATTTTCCTCTTGAGGTGCTGCCTGTATTCCCGAGGCACGTGTTTTTATTAAAGACCTGAAAGTCTGTTTTCTAAACCAACGTTTTCACATGAATGGTGGAGTCCTACAAAAGCACAAACAACAAACCCATTGTCACATGTTGAATAGCACTGTAAGTCTCTTGGCATCAGTAATATTTCCTTTTTTTTTTTTTGCATTGTTCAGATTATTCGATGTGTGCAGTACAGAAAAAGGCTGAGGAAAAATCGTTTGTCCAAAGAACAACTGAAGCGGATTCCGACACACAGGTTTAGTAAAGGTAATGAGACTGTTGCAGTGCTCCTATGATTTTAAAAGTATTGAGAACTAGAGCTGATTAATGGATTGGCTACCAAAAATGAAATCAATTGTCAACTATTTTGACTTCCTAGCAAGTGATTTTGAAGACTGTATTGTTTTTATGTGAAGCTTTTAACTTCTAAGATAGGTTCTTATGTTGAAATGTTGCTCATCAGTTCAGTCAAGAGTACTTAGTTGAAGACCTAGTGTTATTCATATTGGACTTTTAAATATTTTATTCACAATTTTGAAGGATTTAAGTTGATATGTTATCTTCTGTTTTGCAGGAGATGATTACGACGTGTGTGCAATCTGCCTGGATGAGTATGAGGAAGGAGACAAGCTGCGTGTTTTACCTTGTTCACATGGTAAATATTTCATATGATATGATGGTAATCCTCATTTTGTGAAGCCAAATGTTATGGTACATCAGGAAAATGGTATACAGGTCATTTTAAAATGGTTGATGTGAATGTACCTGGTAATAGATATGAAAAGGTACGGCGCTCTCTAAACTCAGAAATGTTGACTGTAATTGTGTTTTTGAGTTAAGACAACTTCTGAGGAACTTATGTACAACCAGCAGACTACACTGAGTTAGGGAAAGCTTTCTCGCCACAATCCAAAGTATTTTAATTACCATGTGCTTAATGATTGTTAGCATAAACATGTTTTTTCACTGCTTACTTATTAAAATTTAGTTGGTTAGAATAGTATTTCCACATCATTTAAAAGAATTTTGTATAAGAAAAAAATCACTCGAGCTTTTTCGTCCTTGCGGCACAAATAAGAAGCCAAAATGAAACTTTATCATTCTTATCCACTAGGTTGTTACACTGAAGGATAGGGTGTCCACGTTTTACTGATAATGTTATATGACCACCAGCATGAGCTACATGCAGTCGTGCAGCATATCTCTGGAACTTTATTAGCAGGTTCAGCTTAATCTCCGTGCATGAGTTCACTATTGGTCATGGCACAAATAAAAATATTCCCCAGATCATTGCTTGAAATGGCTTTCACATTATATTTGTTCAGAGTACTGGTCCTCTAAGACCCAGACTTAAATTATGCAGGTACAGTAAGTGGGTAGGGCAGGGGAAACATTTATTTAGTTTTAAATTAATTAATGCTGAAGTTTGAGTTTAAACTACACACAATATTAAGCTAATGCAGTTATCAACATTGTTATGTCAACCCAGCCCATCTAAATAATGTTTAAACTGAAAACGTTTATCTAAATCAGTAAATTGGAATTTTAAATCTTGCAACCATGCGTTTATTGAAGAGGAAACGGGTCCCATGTGCCATGTGGCTAAAACACCTCACCTAAAGCACGTGTTCTGCAGTATGATCTGTGTTAGCTTTTGAACATGAGCTTGTTCTCTAATTGTTACGTATTGTGGTCAGTAAAGCCTTTGTTGCACTGTCGCTGTCCTTTGGTGGTTTCTTTCCTAAGTTTCTTGAATTTCTTCCTGTTTCCCAGCGTACCACTGCAAGTGCGTCGACCCGTGGCTCACACAGACCAAGAAGACGTGTCCTGTGTGCAAACAGCGCGTCACCCGGAACAGCACGGAGCACTCCGAGTCCGAGTCCGAGGAGGAGGCCGGAGGACGTGGAGAGGAAGAGGGGACGGAGGGCGATGCAGACTCGGAGCGCACCCCGCTGCTTCGGCCCTCCAACCCGGGGTCCCCCTTAGGAAGCCCAGGAGCCTACTCAGCCACCACCACCACTGCCCAGTGCCTCGCCTCCCCCGCACACTGCGACTCACCCATCCTGGGCTACGAAGGCTACTACTCCCCACAGGAGGAGACGGACTCAGAGAGCGATGAAGCAGGAGAGGAGAGGCACCACACGGATGATGACACTGCACAGCTCATTGGTAGGGATCCGGTGGATGTCTGATGGCTGGAACTTAGCTGCAACGAGATTACGTTTAGTTTTACTTAAAAAGGGTCTTTCTATCGTGAGGCGTGCTCTATCGCACATCACTTTAAAATAGTTTGCAGATTTATGGGTAACTATACGTTTAGGATACTTGCCACGTTTGTTGATTGTAACAGAATCCTTTCCCCCCAATAACCAGCGGAGGTCTACTTTAAAGTGTCAAAGCACATGCAGAACTTTCATTGATCCGTTTTTACCATTGATCCGTTTTTACCAAAATCCAAGTGTAGAGCATCAGTCCACTTCAATACACAAGTTCACTCTTGTACTGTTGTCTTTTGACCTACTTTTTGATGCATGCTGTGATTTATAACGCGATCATGCCACGTGACCTAATCACTAGTGCTGCACAAGACGAATGGGCCACTTCAATGTCTTTTTAAGCAAGAGTGTGACTCCTGTAGGTGAAGCCTGTGTAGCCAAAGTTATCAAGCTTAAAATTGATCTTCAAAGTTCTCTGTTAGATTTACGTGAGGTTTGCGCAGTTTAAAGATCCTCTGTTGTCTTAACAATAACTGTTTTATACCTGGCACTCCTTGTCCACAACTTTAAATCATTTGATAACAAGGATGTGAAAGTGGGGAGGAAAAAGTTTGTCTTCTTCTTCTTCCTCTTTCTTTTTTTAACTGCTCTCGCGCTTATTTCGGACATCTTCCAGTTTCATTTCAGTTTTTTGAAATCTCAAGGTTTTTCTCAAATTTAACAGTAAATTATGCTACAATAGAACATTGCAACGATGTTAGACAGTTCTGATGCTTTTACATTGTTACTGGTAATACTGTGTGGACAGTTTAAGACAAGTATTTTTAGCTTTATCCAGTTTGTCAAGTTGAACAAACTCAGGTTCGTCGCACAAAAAAAAAAAAAAAAATTAAAGGTCAAATGAATAACATTGTGAGAAAATTCTGGGCTTTGGTCTTGTGATCTGTCTTCGCTTTTTGCTTTTTTTTTTTGGAATCTGTAAAATGTAGATTCATAAATATTTAATTGATTTTTTTTTTCCATTTTTATATACTGTTTAACTGAATGATGACATGATAAATTGTGGAACTCTGGGGGTGTTTTTAGGAAAAAAGAGCATTGCCTTATATTGGCCTTGATGTACACATGTATGTTAAATGTTTAGAAACAACAGGATTGACACTCCTTTTTTTTCCTCCCTCTTGTCGAGCTGTAGTTAATACCGCTGGTTAGAAAGCTTTTTATCTCGCTCCTCGATCTGAAAACCTGCTCCACGTTTGTTTTTATTGTGTCAAGAAAGAGAAAGCCTGTGTTTTCACATGTTAAGTGCTAGTAATGATAGCGATAGCCAGCATAGTCATGCTTGATTTGCACCTGAAAACTTGGAAGATCAGCAGCTGTCAAACAAGAGGCGGGTTGTTCCTCTACTGTATGGGATGATCTGGGTGGAGTACATCCGGATGGTTTGTTTAAATACGAATAGAAACCCCAAAAGTTGTTTCTGCCAAACTGCTTCACACACCAAGTAGATGCACATTTCTTGTGTAACTGTACAGCACGAGGAGTTAACGTACTGTACGCCTTTACCCATATTCTCTGTTCGCCTCGGTGGAGCTGCACAAATGTAATCGGTGTTGCTTCTGTGGTCTCTCATGCTGCTGCACCACAGTCAGAGAAAAATCAGAATTGTAATTTAAGGTTCCTGCCATTTGTAATGAAAATTAGTGCAATCATTTAGGATTTTATGTCGATTAACGGGACATATCCTATTTTATCATCTCAACTTCGTCCTTCATCAGATGGAGGATGACTCTTATCTCCCCGAACACCGCTACTGCGCGTAATAGTGAATGTGAACGCTGCACACGGTGTATGTAATACTGTCTCTGAGGGTGAGTTTTCAGTAAGTTGCATTTGTACATTGGAGGGTGAACAGGGGAATCAGCAGGGCTGTAAAATCACAACATTCCACCTTTATATTTTACTGCTGATTGACGAAAAGAATTCACACTATTAAGATTCGATTGGGACTTGTTGGCAATAGTCTTTATTGTAAGATAGAACAGTTGTTTTCCTATTTACGATATGCTTCAAATATCTTTTGTACTGTACCTTTTATTTTGCTCTGTATGTCTCAGTTTTAGAGACTGTTGACAGAAACACATGAAAATAATCCCTGATTATTGTTTTTTTTTCGTTTTTCCTTTTTCTTTTAGAACGTGCCTAGATTATTACACTTAATAAATGTACAGTGTCAAGTATAATTTTTTGGTGTATAAGGCAGGATTGAGAATCTTTAGGATGTCTAAACACAGTCTGTGGAAAGATGCATTTAATGTGGGATTTGTGGAAGATTAAATGACACTGAAATGAGACTGTGTTGTTTGTTTAGGTGAGAAAATGTAAGTAAAACTTCCATGACAAAGGTTTATTGACGTACATGAATTCTTAATAATAAAGCCACTATGATGAAAGCTGTTGTGTATGTTATTACAATGTGTGTCATCATTTTTTAAAATATATACAGTTGTGTGAAATGATTCATACCCTTCCAGAATTGTTGTTTTATAGTAGCAGGAAAAAAAAACTATGTCGCTACAGTACGAGTAGTTCCATGCTTTAAAAAAAAGTCTCAGAGGGCGTAGTAGGAAGACAACAGTGTAGTAAAGTCCAAGAAGAATCTAATAATCATCACCAAAACTATCCTAAAGAACCTCAGCAACTCTGGGAGGCAATGTCTCAAATGTGGTCAAGAGATGGCTACAAAAGAGCAACACTAGCCACAGTCTAGACCTGAATCCCATCGAAAAACTGCTGCTGACTTTCTACCAGCTGTCCATTGAGAGCCTGCTGACAGACTGTATTACAGTATGGACAGGAGGAGGCTCCAGAGGGCAATCAAAGCAGCACAGAAGATCGTTGGTTGTCCTCTCTCCTCACTGATGGACATTTACACTTGCCGCTGCCTCAGTAGGGCAAGAAACATCATCAAGGACAGCTCATATCCTGGGTCCCATATGTTTGACCTGTTGCCCTTGGTCCGGTTGTATCGGTGCATCAGGCCACCGACTAACTGACTGCTTTTTCGCTTTTTCCCTAGCGCCTTTGCGCTTCTGCGCTCCCTGATACGTTGCTTTGCTCCCTTCCTTCCTGTGTTTCTGTTGATCCGTTTGCTCTTATTTTGTCATTTTGCACTTTTTGTCATGTGTTCTGTTGTACTCTCCTTTTCTTATTTTCTTCTGTTGCTCTGTTGTTTTGTGCTTTTTTACATTTTTGTATTTTTTTTTTCCTTTTTTTCCTTTTTTTATTTTTTTTTTTTTTTTTTTTCGTCTCTATGCCCTTTTTGTTTGCTTTTTTGTTTTGTTTTTTTTTTTTATCTTTTGTTGTTTTTTAGTTTTTTGTTCTTTGTGGTGTTTTGGCTTGTTTCCTTTTTTTTTTTTTTTTGTTTAGTTTCATTGGATTGTTTCTGCCTGTGTGTGGAGTGACTGCCGACGAGATGTGTGTTGTTTGTTTGCTTTGGTTGGTGGCAGGGGCTGGGTCGGTGGGTGAGTGTGTGTATAATTTGTATGCTATTTCTTTATTAACACCTGTAATGCATCTTTTGTTGTTTTTGGTGTCGTTTTCAACCAGAAGAAACCTGTTGGTCCAATAAAAATGACTTTAAATCAGAATTTGGCATAGACATACATTAATACTGGCCCTAGCTGTTTAGTTCATAGCTGACTTCAATAATATATCATAGTAACAATTCATAATATTACAGAACGAAGCACATATTGATCCATAAAATACATCAGACAAATGCAGAATTTAAGAATCAGATTAGTTGTTGAAGTAAATAAAGTTTAAACTCGACTTGTTTTCACCAGGACTATATTAGCTGTTGACCAAAAGTAAGCTGTGTTCCTATATATATCTATTATATATAATATCAACATATATAATAAATTAAAAAAAAACATTTCCAATGGGATATTCTTGAGTCATAGAAACTGAATGAAGAATGAACAGCTCAGCAGGGGTGTCACAGTAGGATCACAGGCCATAAATTAATTAACAGAGCGTTTTGTCAGGTGAGTCGTGCTTTTACAGAAAGTTAGCCGTCTGCCTTTGGGTGTAATGCTTGTTCATTAGGACGTCGTGTATTTGATGAAGTCAGACCTGTTAATCCTTTTCAGTTTCATGTGCAGTTACTCTTGTCCCCTGCTGAGTTAAAGAAAAGACAATTCATGTTTGAGCTGAATAAACCTTTGATTACTGCGTGTACAAGCTGTGCATACATTAGCCTCTGGCTGGATTATGGATATGTGGAACTAAAAGCTGGCGCGTTTCTTTAGGTTTGTTCCATGCTGAGGACTAAATAATAGCACAGTGGTATAACGTCACATTTACACATTTATACACTAAACCAACAGAACCTATAAAAGGTTACTCTTCACAGGAAACCACCAGCTCACATCTGGTGTGCGGCATTTAGAAAACATCACAGATTCATGAACTTTGACCAGGTACTGACCGATGCAGCTGTAAAGAGAAGCGATGCCACCGTTCTCCTCCCTGCTGAGATCTTCTTTCTTGCTATTCTTGACTCTAACTTTATTTGTGCTTCTGGATGCCAGAAAGATTCAAGACCACAGTAAGGTAAAATACTCAATCATACTTTGTTGGTGTCAGTTTAATAGATGTTTGATTTTCATCACTGAGATTTCAATGGGAATGATCCATTAAATAAACCCAGTAGTGGAAGACAGATTCAGATTGTTTAAGTACTAAAGAGTAGTGAAAAAATACTTTGTTACAAATAGAAGTTCTGCATGAAAAACCCGACTTAAGTGAAAGTATTTGCAACAAAAGTAAAAGTACTGGTTTGGATACTCTGATATATTATAATATGTGGCATTATTAGATTATTAAAAATAAACATTACTTCAATACTTTATTTTTCAAATTACTATTTGGTGGTGCTGGTAACAACTCACTGACATCTGAAATATGACAAAGACTACACACTGACATCAAAAGCCAAAAAATGTTGGAACCTGCTAGATTTATCTGTAAAATGTGTCTTATTTTAAAAGCATGTTATAATATCTATTGTGTAAAAATGTCACCTTACAATTGCTTCAAAATCATGTATTACTTAAGTAAATATGTTTAATATTACATACCATAATAGTGGACATTATATTTTTGACATGTGCTTTCCACAAGATTTATTTTTACAGCAGCATTCAGTCATTCAAAATGTTTTAAGCAGTTTTTAAATGTGGATCTGTACTATTTCATCATTGATGGTTACTGCACGATGAAGCAGAACACATTTTTTAGAGCTTTTGAACGTCAAATTGAAGTACTCGCTCCACTATGGTGTGGATTTAATGAATAGATGACTAAATCGGATAAATATAGATAGTGTCATTGTAATATCATAATTTTGGTTCTGTTGATATATTGTGCCTGAAATGAATGTTTACAGTGTTGTGAAATTGGGTCACACATTCACAGGGTTTTTTGGACAGTCCTTACCAATCACACATCCTCGCTGGACCCGCAGATGACTTTGCATTCGGATCCAGAGATGGTCACAACTTCCCACAAGTGGAGTCGGCGTTCATCATGGAGGATGGAGCTCAGACTACTCAAGTGTGGCCGCGTGTTATCCTGGATTACATGAGGGACCAGTTAAGGTTCAGAGGAAGGACAAAGAAAAGCACAACCAAAGGATGTATCCGGCACTTCACTGTAAAGTGAAAGTAAAACAGTAGAAGAGAATGATCTATTAAACTATTGCTTCAATGCTTTGTGTGACTTTGTTTTCAATACCTGTTGTACAAAACCACTCACTCACCACTTAATGTCTGCACACAATAAAAACTGAATGAAATGACCTCAAACCAGATACCAACTTTAAATAACATGTCTTTAAGATATTATTAAGTCAAACCTTTTTTATGTTTCCATTGAGCATACCTTTGCAAGAAATAGTATTAAAACAGTTTGAACAAAAAGGTTTAAATGGTCACTAGTGGCATGTCAAAATCACCAGTGTGAGAACTATGTATTTATAAATGAAGCTGAGCTGAAAGATGGGAGAGCATAAAGGGAAATACCTAAAATGAAAGGCCTCTGTTACCATTTATTAGCCCCTTTTTGCCGATATTAGTTCAATTTTCCCCTTAAATTAAATTTCCAGGTATGACTGTTTCTCTTATCTCCGTGTTGCAGGTTGAGTTTTTTCATTTCACAAGCTGGTGCAGGCTGAAATTAGTTTTTATTGTAATATACACATATGTCAAAACATTTTTAGCTGTACTTTGTGCCATACAGTTTCCTAAATCAAATTTCCTGTAGCTTTAATTTGATGTTGTTCTGCCAGACGTTGCTCGAATCCATATTGCCTTACCTTAAAGTCAAGTGATTTTGCAAAGATAACAAATAAATCTCAGTTTTGTAAGACAATGTGAATGAAATAATGAATGAGAATACATCAGTTTGACAAAATGGTGTATCTATTAAAAACATTAGGATTCAAATTTTCATTCAGTGTAAACAGCATACAGTTTTATAGAATAGCTGCAGTATGCCGATGCAGGATAAACAGTGCTGTGAAAAAGCCCTCATACAGATATCTTCTATATTTGCATATTTGTCACATGGAAATATTTCAGATCATCAAACTAATTTTAATACAAGACAAAGATAATACAAGAAAACACAAACTGCTGTTTTGAAATGATGATGAAAAAGACTTGTTGAACCTAAACTTGTCTGACATAGTGAAGCAGCTAAAGGGTCTCAAAAAGCAGCACATGATGCCACGTTTTAAAGAAGAAATGCCAAACACAGTATTTGACATTTATCAGTTTGGAAACAGTTACAAAACCATTTCTATGTTTCTGGGACTCCAGCGAACCACAGTGAGAGAATTGATCCACAAATGGAGAAAACATGGAACAGTGGTGAACCTTCCCAGGAGTGGCTGGTCAACCGACATTTCTACCAAAAGCACGTCAACATCTCATCCAGGAGAATCACAAAAGAACCCAGAAAACATCAAAATAACTGCAGGCCTCACTCAGTTAAAGTCAGTGTACATGATTGCACAATAAGGAAGACATTGGCGTCCATGGGAGAGTTGCCAGGCGGTCCGATCAAAAAGCATGCAAACAAATAGCTGGACGAGCCCCAAGACTTCTAGAAAACATCCTTTGGACTGATGAGTCAAAGGTGTGACTTCTCAGAAGCCATGGGTCTTGTTATATCTGACGTAAAGGTAATACTGCATACCACAAGAAGAACATAACACCAGCAGTGAAGCATGGTGGTGGTAGTGTGGTGGTTTGTTTCTACAGGACCTGGACAGCTTGTCATAACGAAAGGAGCCATGAATTTGGCTCTCTATCAGAAAATCCTCCTGGAGAATATCCACCCATCTGTTCATTACCTAAAGCTGAAGCACTAATGGGTTATGCAG